AAGGCAGAACGAGGCCGACATTGCACATCTCCTCGGGCTGATACGGAACACCAGTGAGGGCCATATCGTGACTGGGTGGGGTGTGACCGATGACCTTGCTGGCTGTATCAAGAGACGGGATGGAGGAAAATACCTGCGCTCTTATTGCTGGGTTTGTCTTGAGCGAGGATGGACTTGGCTATTGTCAGCTTTCAGAAACACAAGACGGCAGGTTAGAGCATCACTCACTTTCGCCCGTTATAGGCCGGGATGGAGGATCCCATGTAGACAAGCTTTGCTTCATCATCCGCCAACACACCTTCAAATTCGGGGATTGGTGAAGTCCACGGGAGCCGCACAACGAGTTCCTCCCCAAGGGGAATGCCGATAAGCGCCGCAGGTGACGCATCGTCCTCGTCGCGGCACGGATCGGCGGCGTTATCGCCGCCCAGTTGCAGACGGGGTGAACGAGGTAAGTTGCCACGCTCCTCCTCGGTCTCCTCGACTGAGAGATCGCTAATCGTCGAATCACTTGATGTCGAGTAGTCGCTAGAGCTCATCTGTGCCGCATCCAAATGCCCATCAATGATTTCGATTATCCGCGAGGTGGAAGAACTGGATATTTGTTGCCCCAACCTCCGGGACATATGCCCTTTGGGCTGGCCCAAGTTAGTTCGATCGAAACAGAGCCGCAGGGGTGCCTTTGCTGCACTCACCACGGGGACTGGGCGGTAACCAAGGTTCTTAACAATGTCAAGCTGGGAAATAGGCCTGCATCCCATAGGGTTAAAGCTAAAACCCGTTGCTGCATGCGGAGGGATATGACCATCTACGACACCGTCGAGTCCGAGCCAGCTCTTGTCTTTTCCGAAATGGTGGCAAGACTGGCAGACCTTGTACTGGCATTCGAAGCGCTCATCGGGAATCCAGGGCTTCCTGTCATCAGGATATTTCGCCTCGGCATAATGGGGCGGATGGGTAGACCGATGACGTTCCTCGGATATAGCAGCATGAACCTGAGAGCTTGGGTTAGCACCTGGTACAATAAACATAGACGCGGAACTTACATTGTCACGCTGCGAGAGGACGATGGCGAGCTGGGCTGGAGTGTAGCTTTGGAGTTGCTCCGAGGTGACCTCGTTGAGGAAGCTGTACTTTTCACGGCGAACGTCCGGACCACACTTCCCAAGCGACATCTTCCCAGAGAAGGCAACTCCTAGCCCGTCGAAAGCGACCTGTCCCCAAATGTAAGCAAACCTGGCTCCGTTGGCACAGGTGGAGCGTATATAGGTACCTGGTGTCCCTCGTCTCGAGCAGCCATGATCAAAGGGTCGCGATCCATGGTACACCGGTACAGCCAGCCAAATTTGCCGCTTCGCCCACACACTTCACACCTGTACAAATCACAATAGATGCGTGTCATGTTGGTGTGGTTGCACTTTGGCTCCCAACGGCGTACGCTAGGGCGTAGGCGCGAGAACTTGGACGTCGGGACGGCAAGTGTTGGCGATGGGGGCGCCGGGAGGGGGCGCTGGCCCGCATTTGGTAATACCTGTATGCGTGTGTGTTGAAATCCGCTCCTATCCCAGACGTCGCTAATGTGGACGGTACCCAGGTTTTGATCGGTGCTCGCCATGGCGCTATCGCAAAGGTGTTGGTATTGAAGATGTGAGGGGAGTTGAGAGGCAGGTACGCAGGTCTATTCAGCGGGTGCTGAGCCGTGGGAATGTATGGCAGATGGCCCGAGGTAGTGGGTCCTCTTCCGAGTGACTGCAGCCCGCTCAGGAAAATGGGATTTTGAGTTTGTGTCTCTTCCCACTGGGAAGGAGCGAAGAAGTGTTGAGGGCGAGGGCATGACACAAAGTTCAACGGCGGCGGCGGCAGCGTGCAGCTCGCAACGCTATATAAATGCTTTCTGAACACGGCAGCGGCATGCACACGGAGAAGAGCAGCCCGGCAATGACAAGTGGACCGGACAGAGAGTGGGAGAGGAAACAAGCCATGTTGATGCCACAAACATTACTAACATCGCGACTTCCTCGCTGGTTTGTTTGTTAGTGTACGACTTCAAAGCTTATTGAAAGGCGGCTAGCTTCAACACAAAGACAACTTGAAACCCAAAAAAGGACTCCCTGTTTTTACATATTTCGCCTTCAGATACTGGAGGCATTTTGAGAAGCTGGGGAGGTTTTTTAAGTCCTTGAGATGGATCATCAAGGTGGGGGATGTCGAACCCAGACGTTTTGAGCTAACAGACAAACACATCGACTAGAGCGATTTCTGTACAGCATCAGAACAAAAGAGATAGCCAAAAAAGCATTGGAAAGTTGGGTTTGACGGATTTGTGAAGAAACAGAGATGGTATATATCGGCATGGCGGTCTCGACGTTGCTCGCCGTCGCCATCACGGACCACCAAGCCATGGGAGGGCTAAAAACGGCATGAGGCTCAAAACCGCAATTGTTGCGGTGCTGTCACCAATTGACTTTTCTGGGGGCGACTGGCGTGAGGGAGCTATGGCACCCGATGCTTGCGACAGCTTACGACAGCCAGCTCCCGCTTGATTCGAGGCCATGGGTCGAGGGCGGCCAATGGAGAGACAAATGCTAGACATTTCTCGAGAATGGGTGTGGATGGTGGACGGGTGGATGAGTGGCCCTCAGATGCAGTCGAGGGCTGCAGCCGAGGCGGCCAGGGGGAAGGGAACAGGGGTGGGTGCTGTTGATGTGTGTTGTCGTCTCACAGCTTCAGCAGCTCAGGACGTCCAGGTTGGCCAGGTTAGGCCGTGGGGGAACAGGGGGGGGAGGCCTGCGTGAGGCCTGAGGGGAAAACAAACCTCGGTCATTGTGCGCCATGCGGCGATGCGGCCAATCAGAGGCAGCATTCAAGGCTGGCCATTCAGGTCTCCACCCTCGTCTGCCCCCAGCCGCCAGTGTCGCCCAGTCGCCCAGTCGCCAGTCGCGACGCTGAGATGAGCTCCCCCCATCAAAAAACCAACCTCCTCTGTTGTCCACAGTCCACCTCTCGCCCCCCGAACCGTGCCCAGCGGATCTCGAGACGAGAGCTCGCAACCCGCAACCCGCAAGACCCGCATCCCCCGATCATCCCATCGCCGTGCTCTCTCCTATTACCGGTGAGTCTCCTATCTCTGGTCGCATCGACGCGTTTTTTGGTCTGCACAATTGGCGAAACACCGTGACGTCCACCGCCTCGGCTCCCGATCCACGCTGTAAACAAAGCAACGAAAACCACACCCCCCCCGGCGCAATCCTCACACCGCGACCCATTCGCGCCCTACCAAAACCACTCAAACCACCTAAACCACTGCCGACTGCGAACAGCCGACTGATCGGTTCTCGTTATAGATCCAGCTCCACACTTCCTAGATGTCGGTTTGACCGCCTCCAGCCATGTCGCTTAAAATTGAGCGGGACACGGTCACGACCGCTGTTACCGAGAGCGTGAGCAAGGCCGTCGACAAGCACGTTGACCATGGCGCCATCGCAACCACCGCCGCCGCGGTGACCGAGGCCGCCACCGGGAACCTGCCCGGAACCAAGGGTCACCACCCCATCGCCGCCGTCGTCGGCACCGCCATCACTGGTGGCAGGCAGAATGCCGGCACCAAGGGCTATCTAGCAGTATGTTATGGCCCCTTCCGGCTCCCCGGCCCCGGCTCTGCCCGCGCCGTCTCCCTCCGTGTCTGACCAGTCATTTGTAGACGTATATCAAGCAATTGGAAGACCACCCGATGCGAACTAAGATGCTCACTGCCGCCACATTTGCCGGTTCTCAGGAGCTCATTGCATCGTGGCTGGCCAAGGACCGGAACAAGCATGGCAACTACTTCACGTCACGAGTCCCCAAGATGGCCGCCTATGGCGCCCTGGTCAGCGCTCCGCTAGGCCACGCCCTGATCTGGGCCCTGCAAAAGGCTTTCAAGGACCGCAAGAGCCTCAGGTCCAAGATCCTGCAGATCCTCGTCAGCAACTTGGTTGTACGTAGAAACACGCCCCTTCATCCCACCCTCCAATGGCACACTAACCTCGCAAACAGATTGCCCCCATCCAAAATACCGTCTATCTCGTCGCCATGGCCCTCATCGCCGGCGCCAAGAACTTCCACCAGGTAAAGGCCACCGTGCGCGCCAGCTTCTGGAAGGTGATGCGTGTCAGCTGGATCGCGTCGCCCGTCTGCCTCGCCTTCGCCCAGAAGTTCCTACCCGAGAGCACTTGGCTGCCCTTCTTCAACCTTGTGTCGTTTGTCATCGGCACATATATCAACACGGTTACTAAGAGGAAGCGCTTGGCGGCCCTGCGCAAGAAGCACTTTGGCGACGGCACCGGCCGCCCCACCGGCGGGTCCAGCCACGTGGGCCGTCCCGAGGACTACCCACCCATGGGTCCCAACCCCCAGTATTAAACAAGACCCAAGCAGAGAGAAAGGATACGAAAATGTCCCCGACAGGGACAAGCACGAGTTTTACGATCAGTGCAACGCTGGGCCAGATCCAAAGATATCCTCCCCGAGAGATTTGAGACTTGCAACGAGGGGTGAACAAAGGAAAACAGCGTTAGCAGGGCAGTCTTGTTGGGGAACGGGTGGGCAGCGAGTGAATGGGCTGGGAAACAACGAAAGTGGCCCGCGTATGCAGGAGGTCCGGTGAAAGGGCTATGGGTGGCGATGGTCTTTGGGGGGTTCCTGCGCTGTATAATCTCTCTTGTTATGTTATTGGATGTCAAATGTTTTCTCTTGCTGCTACCAGATAGGCGGGTAGATAAACAACTTGAACTAGCTCAAATACCTCTTTGTCGCAGTTACCTTGCTAATTATTGACTGTAGGGATATCGCCTTGTATTTTCCCTTGTCTCCTCTGTAAGTCTTGTTGTGTCCATGACGAAGCGGAGTCTTGACATCAACATCCACGGTATCCACTTGTCCTGCCTGACATCCCGAATCCACTCAACGACATCCACCTGTCCACACTTGAACCCAAACAAGCAACCACTTTCATACAAAAAGGGGCTATAGTATAGTGGTTAGTATATCTCATTGTGGTTGCAAAACAGCGCTGAGACGACGCCAGTTCGATTCCGGCTAGCCCCATTGGTTATTCTGTTCTTTTTGGTGCTCTGGTCTTGTGCTTGATCGATGTGACGATGTCGGGATGCTCAACACCTCGAGAGCGGTAACAATTGGCGGGAGGGCTTGTGAATGGTGATTCCTCATATCTAGTCATAGTCGTATTGCGCGGCCGCGTGGTTCTCCATCATAATGGACCAGTTTAAAGCTGGGCCTCCTGGCTAACGTAATAGAGCGAGTAACCGGATGCCAACTACCGGGCGCGGCTGTCATGTAATCGCATTCGGTGGCCTTGGACAACTCCTCGGCGCGCAAGGCTTCAAGCATTGGGCCTGATTCGAGATGGAATGTTTCATCCCGTACCGCCCAGATCATGACCCTCCAACATGAACCCTGGGCTCCAGTACTCCCACTCTTCACTCTGCTTATCAACCCAGAGCATGCCCTCGCCAACCAGATCCTCAAGGGCGGTCTGGGCGCGGGCGCGTGTCCACCGGAGATTAACCATGAGCATCGAGACACTGACATAGCCGAGCACCTGGACGGCCTCGAGTACGGCGCTCTGGTCCGTGTTGAGCTCCTTGGGTACCGAACGGATGTAGGGTTTGCTGCCGACTTTGATGACCGAGTACGCCGAGCCCAGGGGTTTGAGCGTGCCAACGGCACGGAGGATATCATCCCTATTACCCGTCTATCAGCCTCCCTCCCACACACCCAGGAATAAGAAGGGACCTACTCCGTAACCTCACTCGCCCCCTCCATCCGCCCCTTCATAATCCTCTCTCTCACCTTGCGCACCTCAATCAGCCCCCCATTCTCCCCCCTCGTCTCGCCGCACACCTCGACCACCTTGACCGCCAGCTCAAAGTAGAAATCATTCACACTCCGGCCCAGCAGCTGCGCCCAGATGGACCCGCCCCCGTCGCGCGTGCTCCCGCTGCTCGCCGCGAGCGGGTCGACCCCGATGGCGGCGCACATGCGCGCAAACTGGGCGCGGAACGTCGGGTTCGACCGGATGTCCTTGGCGTGCGTGGCCGCGAACTGCTGCAGCAGCGAGCGGAAGACGGCCAGCTGCGTCTCGAGCACCTGCGCGTTGGTGCTGCGCAGCGAGGACCCGTGCGACGCGTACTGCGCCGAGGTCAGGCGGCTGCGGTCGAAGGCGGCGAGGCCGACGCCTTTGCGCGACATTTTGTGCTGGTGGTGCGTGTGTGTTGTGTGTGTGTGTGTGTGTGTGGTTGGGTTGGAGGGGGAGACGGGAGACGGGTTTGTTTGTTGGAGGCGATGACGAAGCGTTGGTTGGAGTGGTGGGATGGCGGGGCGATAAGATAAGGTTGCCCCGTATTTCCCTAGACACCCCAACTGCCCTGTCGACTTTTCCATCTTCAACCCGACAATGCAATCTTGTTAGTATAAATGCTCTAAGGTGCGGTGAAATGAACAACAAGATGCTGGATGAATTACAAGAAGTTGACCCTAGGAAGAACCCCAACTTACTGGTCTAGTCTAGAAATCTCCTCGTGCAACATGGCAAGTTTTTGGATTCGAACCACCTTGAAGAGTCTTAACTTGGCCATCCCGTACAGGCCAGCAAATTTATATTATCCCTGTACCACTTGCTATACTCAGTGCAAATTAGTTAAGAGGACAACTTACTTCGATTTGATGGATTCCACAGGAAGTGTTTGTGAGTACGTGTACTGTATCACGAAAATAATTAGACCTCTAACCTACGATACAAGACTTACGGATTATAAAATCATAAAAATATAATCGAGGTTTGTAACGTGTACTATAGCAGCGCAATAGCTTTTACATTCTACTCAAGGACATGTGATTATCATTGGGATCATATCCGCGGGGTAAAAGAAGGCAGCCTTGGAAATAAAAAAATGAAAAAAAATGAGAAGATGAAATTCGTTTCGAACTGACCACCAATGGATTTACCCTCCTAACCTTTGCGGGCTCAGGTAGCATAGCATTCGATGGCACAATCCTACACTCATACCGCTACGCCAAACCGCCCTGTTGCCAGGTTGACCCGTTGTCGCGTCCCTCTCATTGGAATCCGTCCCAGAAATTTCATCCCATATACCTGTGTCGGAAGTCTCCACTCGTACACATCTCAAGGCAGACAATGAATGATGAAACCAACAACAGAGGAATGCGGACTCAGAAAATTCTATACAAGGACATAGTCTTAGCTGGGATATGATGTTTTGCATTTCAGGAAGAGTACTGGACTTCTAGCCCGAGGTTTCGGAACGGCTCGTCTAGTCTATGCAAGTCTATCCCTGAGCCCAGGCTAAAGATGAGCGACTTGACTCTTCCCTCCCAAAGCAGACCGATTCTGAGATTCTGGTCGAGCCTGGCCTTCAATACCCCCAAATACTTTTCCTTTTTTTGGCCCACCTCGGCCTCGGCGGCCGGTTTTGGCTCCAGCTCGGGATCGTCGCGCCGCCACTCAAGTTTCGCCTGGAAGCTCCTCTCCTTGATTTTTGGTTTTACGAGTGTGGTTTCGGGTTCGGCTACTGCTCCGAGGAGGAACCCCGCGGGCCTCCGTTTGCTCCATAGCTCCATGCCCACTGCCCAATCACTCTCGTAGCTGTACACGTTAAACTCCATCCTGGTCGCCAGCGAACAGTAGTCCTTGGCGAGGACGGCATACGTGGCATTGATGTTGCCCATGAGCGGGTTGATCGTCAGCGTTGCTGTCAGCGGGGTCCCGCGATGTGACGGCAGGGTGGCAAAGCGCGCTCCAAAGGACATGCCTCCCGACTTGTTCAGGGTGCCGTAGTAAAGCTCCGCGCCCGCGCTGAACCGGCCGTAAATACGCTCCTTCTCTCCGCTTCGGCTGGAGCTGTTGTTCTCGCCGGCCGAGGTGAGTCCTGGGCCGAGGGCCGAAGCGGAGGCATCTCCGCCAAAGTTGTATAGCCCGCGGACGCCGAGAAGCCCGCCATCTGTTGAGGCAAGACCCTCGATGCCGTAATTGCCCTGATCATACTGAACCAGTCCAAGCAGTGTACCACCGTTCCGTAGAGACTGTGCGCTGACAGCGGAGAGCTGGACCTGCAGCGCCGGGGTGAGCCGCTTAACGACCAGTCCTTCAAGAAGTGACTGGGGGAGGTACAGCTGGCCGTAGAGAAGGGAGCTCTTGTCCCCGTTTGAGTGGTGGGCGGGGGTAGTAATTTTCTCCGCATCGGCCACGGTAGGTTTCGAGGTGCCGCCCTTCACGCTAGTATAGGAGGGCAACAAGCCCAATACGGCCGTGCCATTTGCGTGTGCCGCCCCTTGCCCGAGACCATGGAGTTGGCGGTAGGACCGCAGAAGTGTGGACAGCGGGATGCGATCGGACGGGGACGTAATGTTTGTGAGAGGGACCGAAGAGTAGAGATAGGATATGGAACCGTCGACGACACCAACACTGCCGAGCTGGTAGCTTGTCGCGAAGTGGGGGGTAGAGAGCGAGGAGAGGGCGATGCGGAGGCCCTGAGGAAGCGGGAAGTCGATCAGTTCTGTGGTTGGCAGTTAGCATGGCATGGGGGGGTTAGGAAAGAGGGGATGCCGTACCCCTTGCGGTAGCGTTGAGCTCCTTGTAGGTGTTGTCATCGCTCCAGCTTGTGGCGCCGTAAAAGGCATTTGTGATGTAGTGCATAAACTCGCGCATGCTCGCAGAGATCCCAGTGTCGAGAAGCTGGCATATTGGGTCACCTCCCGGGTATCATTTGGGGGACTCTGAAGCCGGGTCGGGGCTCGAGAAGTCAGCTGTCACAATTGTCGCGAGAAGTGCTGTTGGATTGTTCCTGTCATCTGCGATCCGCAGTTGCCTCTCCAGGTAACTGTCCGCTAGGTTTGCCTGCCGGCTGGGCCAATCTGATAAATAGTGGGCCCGAGCGCCCAACTTCACCGCTCTGACCTGACCGACCACCTGGGCGGAGGTTCCTGCCGAGCGCTGATCTCGGAACGGCTGGAATTTCCGAACCGACCAAACAAGTTCACAAACGGATCGATTCGCCCGGTTTTCCTCCCACCCAAGAACACGAATTTTTGTATGGACTCGCCGTCCGTCTTTAACATTTATTTTCCCTACACTGTGTTTAAAAACACTTTGGATTTCCCAAGGCCCGCTGGAGAATGCTCACAGCAGAAGGCGCAACTCAGACCTAAACCCAAACGGGGACCCGACCAACCTGACTCGAACTGCAGAGCTCTCGAACATCTACTTCTCCTCGGCGCCAAAGTTGTCACGGCCGCTGGCAAACACCTCCTCAAAGTTGTACTCGAACCACCGGATGTCAGGGTTGAGACCGGCAAACTTCCACACGCCGTCCACCTTCTTGTAGTAGTGGGTGTTGTGGCTGTGGGCGTGTCCCTTGACCTTGACCTCCTTGAGGGTCGAGTCGGTGTACACCTGATGGGGCACACGGAGCTGGTGGTAGCCGATGACCTCAGTGTCCGACACCTTCTCCCACTTGTTGGCACCACCGATGAAGTGCTGTGTGCGCAGAAGCGGGTTGCCCAGCACCGCCTTGTCCGAGATCATGGCAATGAACTCCTCAGCCGGCATGGCCTCCCACAGCTTGTTGAGGAACGAGCGGTAGTCGATCTACAGTCGGTAAGATACTCGGTCAGCTATCCTCGCATTCAGCCAGTACACATGAGGGCACATACCCGCAGGGTAGGGGCAATGCACTTCCGCAGACGATCCCAGTCCTTGGAGTCGTAGCTGTCGGCCCACTCAAAGGCGGCCTCGGTGATCCCGAGGTAATCTGCGCCGGTCAGTGTCTCGGATCCGACATTGGGTTCGGAGCGGGATGGAACACACCCTCAAAGGAGATGGTTTCCTTCTTCTCAGTAGCCATTGTTTTTGATGTTCTTGCTTCTCGGGTCTTGACGGGCCTGCTCCAACCTGGCACTTGTGTCGCAGAGCGGGGGAGTAGCTTCTTATCTATCCCCGCGTGTTCCTAGCCCCCTGGACAGCCGCAACATTGGGCAGGGACCCGGCTGAAACGGCGGCCTGATGGTGC